ACTGATGGAGGGATGAAGTGAATGCTGCCTAGGTCCCATGCTCCATGTTATAGTCTATTAGACTGTGAAGCTGGTGGGCATCCACAGCTCCTAGAGCGGTCCCCGTTGAGATAGTGGGTCTGGGACAGCTGCAGACCTGGGCTGGAGGAATGAGGCACCGTGGAGCCGATGCGGGAGCTGAGCCGGGGTCTGGAGCTGATTTATTGGTTGGCAGGTTGCAGAGGTGTAAGGAGGTAGAACCTGGAGATCCCAGTGATCTGGGAGCAGGAGGCGGTTGCAAACGAGGGGAGCACTGGATGCCCAGGTGACAGCTCCCGAAACCGAGGAGAGCAGTGGGGTGCTGTGGATGAGGAGGGGGTCGAGCACTGGAGGAGATAGATTCTCCCCCCTTACCCCAGGACAGCGGTTCGGGGAGACTGGGGACCTTAGAGACACCCACTGTGTCCCAATGGAGGACACCCCCCCCCCCACAGAACTGATGATGTTCCCAAGAGGCCGGATCTGGGACCCTGGGAGAGGGAGGTCTCTGCGCCTGGAGCACGGTCGGGAACGGTGAGTTGCCATGGTCCAGGGCAGGAAATTTAAAGTTTTATTAGTGCTGAAGGTCCGATATAGAATATGGAAAAGTTTATGTGACATCACCTAAATGAAATATAGGGGAACAAAGCTGCTTATCTTTGCTAACATTTCATCAAAGACACTAGCTAGAAGAAAATCTCTGAAACCGCTGTTGGAGCAGATGAGGTAGAAAAAAGTTTGATATAATTGGGGATTTCCAGCATACCTGATTGGATGGAAAGATGGAAAATCTGCAAGGTTGATATTCCCAGAAGACTTTAGTGACTTTTGCAAAAAATTAGAGTTACAGAAAATGGACCTTGAAGGGTGTGGTCAGAGGGGCCTAAAGAGAGGTGTGTTTGGGCAGAGGACAAGGAAGAGGTAGCTGGTCCTCCTCTGGCTGCACCATGGCTCCTCTATCCTCAGACAGTTCAGGAGATCAGTTGAGAAAATGTGGGGAGGAGGAGATGGAAGGGTAGAGGGACAGGGGTAATTGAATGGGGGGATGGCAGGAGGGTGGGCGGGGTAGGGTGTAAGGAAATGCAAGAAGGGAATTTGTGCTTTTTGTGAATTGTATGAGTATAAGGTTTTTCTTCTGTTTTTGTACTGAAACATTTAATAAAAGATATAATAAAAAAAAAGCCATAAAATATATCAATCTAAAGGAACACTTTCTTCTTCAGCATTGTGTATAGTAATGAAAGTAATGGTTCTAATGGATAAAATGAGGATGGTATTCTCAACACAATTTGAAACATGACACAATGGGGTCAATGCATTAAAGGTTATCGCATGGAATATGAAGGTCGTTTGACTAATTTTTTCAGAAACATTGCATAAGTTAATAAAAGAATCAATTTATCAAAGTAAAATATCAAATTTGAGGTACATTTTGCACATTTGTGAAAATAATGAGATAAATACTGCAAAAAAACATGAGATGAATCATTAAAGTCAATTTGCTAAAAAACACACTTTCATTTGGCCAGGAAGTGAACAGTATACAATGTGTCAGTATGAAAATGTTACAATTTATTTTCATTCCTGAGCTCAGAGAACGTTTCATGAGCTGGGGATTGTTTTGTGAATGAAAGCACACTAGAATGTTTTCATAGTTTCCCAATATTGCTGTGTGCCTTCTGGTTCAGTGTTAGCCTACAAAATAAAATTGAAAAATAAGCCAAAAACAATGCAAAATTTCAGAGCCAAATATCGCAAAACAACAATATATAATATATTTGATATATAATGCATGTTTTTTAGTGAATTGATTACTTTTCAGATAAATACTATATGAGGTATTTTAACTCAAACATTCATGTGGTAGTTATCTTTTGGGGAATTTTTATGATTCAGAAATAATTAGGGCCAATGGTATTGCTAGCCCAGGATCCCCGGCTCTGCCATCACCCAACAATGCAGCACTCATGTAAATAGTAAAATAGTAAATTTTAGAACAGTAATTGTCTGAGCTGAGGGAAGATTTCCTAGTCTTCTCCCTGGCTTCAACATGTCTTATGGCAGAACACAAGGAGGTGCCTTATCTAATGTGCCATATGGCTCTCAGCACTGAGCCATGTGGTACTTGAGATCTGTGCTGGGAAGGGAGATTGGGGGGGGAAGGGGTGTGTGAGGATTTGTGCTAGGAGAGGAAGAGGCTTTATGCTGGGAATAGGGGTGCAGAAGATGTGTGCTAGAAAGGGGGAGATGATTTGTGCTGAGAGGGGGAAGTGATGATGGGGCCATTTGGGCTTTGAGGAGGGCATTTAAGGGGGTGGAAGAGGATTTGTGCTGGGAGGAGGACAATATGATTTTTTGCTGCGAAGCAATATTTAGGGATGCATTACTGCTCTCCTTGCGGTGTTTACAATCATAGCAACAACCCTGATTACGGCCAGTTCACGAGAACATGATTTATCAAAGGCAAATAAAGTTTGTGAAACTACCATCTTTTTGCATGCTTCTGCCACATTAAACAATTCACTTAGCACTTGTCCCAGACTTCATGGCACAATGTTGATTGAATTATGTAAATAGAAAAGAATGGTTTCAAAAACTTTCACACTTCTCATTATGTTCTAGAGTAGTCAACATCTGCCTTCCACAAATTACTTAGCACCATACTAGATTACGTTGACAAAATTATATTTGCATCTATAAATGCTGGAATATGTCCCTTAGGCAATCATAGATGGGTCTATTTTGTTTTTGTTCAGTCAGTGGACTTGTAGAAAAAAAAATGAACAGATTCCTCCATCCACACAAGGGAGGTAGATGGAGGAATCCTCCCCACTGTGCAATTATATTCTAACAGCAGGAACTCCTGTGCTGTTGGAATACACTAATAAGCAATGCAGCTGATTTGAAATTTTCCAACATTCCTGTTTTATAGAAATCATTCATTAGATCAACTACTGTTGAACTGGAACAGCCATAGATAGATCCAAATTAAACCGGATCATGCTGAACCAAATGAATTTTGATCTTTCTACATATCAGATGCAGAAAAGCATTACATCAGCCAAATTTGAAAAGATCCTGGAGTCTTACTGTGTGCAGAGTATGTATCAGCCATAATGTAGTTTTTATGGATGTATGTTTTTCACATTCCACATTAAAAATTACGCTACCAAAATCAGTGTGTGCTGTAAATTGCCTCCAGCATTGTAGCATTGTTCCTGTTTCTTCTTGCTTAAGGCTGCCATTTTGCTCTTGCCCAGAGTCCTGAGCAGCATTAAAAGATAATTTCACCTTATAAAAAAAATAATAAATACACATTTGTTTTGCATGTAAAAAAACAGTTGAATGACAGCTCTGCCACATCCCACTGCTAATTAAACTAAGGGGCAGGGCCACGCAGTGATGTCACCTGGTGACCCCCCCCCTTCCCCCCGTGACATCAGGGTGAACATTTTTTTATCTTTTTCAGGGTTCAGCGGCCTGTGTTCATTGTGATTGACATTGGATCTACACAGGGGAACAATTTTTTTTTTACATTTTTAATAAACAACTTGTCAAAATCCGTTGTTGCGTTTCTACTTTTTTTTATCCACTTTTACCCCCCCCCTTTCCTGAGCTACCGGGCTGCATAGTCACATAATAGTTTAGTATGGATTTTTGGGTGTGTAGGGTTGCCCTCAAAATCCATACCAGACCCTTAGGTCTGGGGGGGGGGGGGGACCCATGCTGTTTTCTTTTTTTCAATTTTGGCATGGGGTTCCCCTTAAAATCACGCTAACAGCTGATGACTCACTGGTTGTTAAGGACATTGCGGGCTGTCAGCTCCTTAACATCCATGACAGTCACTGGTTGTTAAGGATGCCGGTGGCAGCCTACTCCTTAACAAAGTGGTGTTTATTACTGTAAATAAATACACCGGCTACCACTGGCGTTAAATTACCACATATGTTCACTACTAAAATACTGCATGAAATGACTCATGCAGTATTTTAGTAGCATTTTTAGTGAATCTCAAAAAAATTTTTGATAAACGTTGTATAGTATCTTATCACATACTCGGATGCAGTAAAATACCGCTTTGCGAATGGAGCCCCATATGTCTTACATACAGATTGTCTATTTCCAATCTTTGAAATTAAGTGGAGATACTTTACAGTGTATAGAAGGATGATCATTGTTCCTCAATGTAGTGTTCTCAACTAACGACGTGCTATTTTTTGGTACAAGAACAGATACAAGATAGTTTACATGACCTTCTGTAACCCCCAGAAGCCATATAAAACACCCTTGCACCTTTCAAAACCATCAGAAACATCACATCATCACCTTCCCTACTGACATAAAATCATTTTGCCAAAATTTCAACAAAGCAAAAATTCTTAGTTTCCGGAAAGTGTACCTTTATTCTCACAATCAACATTAAACTGGTTCTAAAGTCTAGGTTTTTTACCTTAATGCATTCCCTGCATTAGAGCAAAAAATACCCCACTACTTGTTCCCTTCCTCCTTTAACCACTTGCCTACAGGGCACTTATACCCCCTTCCTGCCCAGGCCAATTTTCAGCTTTCAGCTCTGTCACATTTTGAATGACAATTGCGCGGTCATGCAACATTGTACTCATATGAACTTTTTATAATTTTTTTTTAGACAGTTTTAGTTTGGTGGTATTTAATCACCTCTGAGTTTTTTAATTTTACTTAACAAACCAAAAAAACAACTGAAAATGTTGAAAAAAAAAAGTTTTTTTTTCTTAGTTTCTGTTATAAAATGTTGTAAATAAGTGATTTTTCTCCTTCACTGATGTCCGTTAATGAGGCTGCAGTGATGGGCACTGATAGGCTGCATGGATGGGCACTGATAGGTGGCACTGATGAGGAGGCATTGGTAGGTCCCACTGATGGGCATTGACAGGCATCCCTGATGGGCACTGAAAGGCAGCACTGACTGGCACTGTTAGGTGGCACTGACTGGTAATGTTAGGTGGCACTGATAGGCGGCACTGAAGTGCACTGATAGGCGGCACTGACTGACACTGGTGGCTCAGATGGGCACTGATATGTGACATTGATGTGCACTGGTAGGCACTGATATGTGGCATTGATGTGGCACTGATGGGCACTGGCAGGTGGCATTGATGAACATTGACAGGTGGCACTGCTGGGGCTACACTGATCATCAGTGCCCTGATGATCAGTGTAGATGTCCCTCTGAGTAATACCGATCACCGGCTCTCCTCTCCTCACGAGCTGTCAGCGTGACAGCTCATGAGGAGAAGAATGCCGATAACCGGCATTTCCTTATTTACATGCGATGTGAGTGGACACAGCTGATCACATGACCGAGCCGATGTCATCAGCTCTTTCCATTGATCGGTGATCCACTGTGTCCCAGGGACACAGCACACCACCGATTATCGTGCGTGCGCGGTTTAGAGTGGGAGGACGCCGTATGATGTCCTCCCAGAAAGATATAACTGCCTTGTGCCGGTTATTTCCTTATATGATGGGCGGGAGGCAGTTAAACACCTACCTGACACCTCTCTTGATTAGAGCTATTCCGCTGGCAACCCCACCCTCCTCTCTTCCTGGATTCACAGGCTACACTGACAGCAGTGGGAGCCATAGGCTGCTGTCAGTCAGATTCTGTGTGCAGGGAGCAGGGGGTATGGCAGAGCTCTGCTGTGTGTGTCATTGGACGCACACAGCACATGGCTTGCCATGGGGGTACTCGGAAGTGAGGGCTGTGCTGGCAGTGGACAACCATAGAAGAGGTAAGGGACTGCTCTGTGCAATATTGTTAGATTTTTTTTTTATCACTTTAACTATTTTTAATCCTTATACTGCTAGCCTATAGAACAGACAGTGCACAGTCCACGTGTGTTTTTCTGCTTCTCTGCAAACAGGAAACTTTATTCAGTGAAAAGACAGAGTATAGATGCAGCTACATACGTATAAACACTGCCATCTGCTGGTTGAAGAATATATCTCTACTGAATACTGATGTAGTTGTTGCACAAAATGCATGAACATTGTATTCCAACAGCAGGTATAGTATATTCACTCATTTAAGTGTTTCTTTTTACATTTCTTCAGTTGCTTCCTGGTTTCTGGCCTAGGCCAAACTGATGCCATACATCCTCAGAGTCTTCATGGGAATTTTTTTTCTTTTATCTGGAGGAGGGTCTTTTTCAGCTAAGCACACCATTCGGCCTGCATGCCTGACCTTGTGAAAGTGTACCAGCAGCCCATGTATATTGTACTTCACATGCACAAGAGTTTCTAGTGTCATTACAGTAAAGGTAGACTGTGGGGAAACTGTGTTTTTCAAAGTGATTTCTCAACAAAATAAATCATGGAGACATGGATTGATGGGCATGTTTGTGTAAGGGATACCAAATGCAGGTGTCTAGTGGCAGCAGAGATGACCAGATTAGTGGACAACACATAAGGAAGATGGAATCATACCGAGTATGATTAAAATAAAGTTTATTAATTCACACAACACCCATTCAACATCAACAGGCCATAAACAAAGAAAAAGTGAAAAATAAACATGACAATGCAGAAAAAAAAAAACAGACCAACAACCTAACTATGAAGAGAAGCTGACATAAACAGTGACTGACCAGGACTGGAACTAGGAACAAGGAGATTAGAGATGTTTTTAAAATGTGAAAGAGGAACCCTTCCTGCTGTTATGGTGTCACCAGCAGGTGATCAAAGTCCTGACAGTTTGCTTTAATTAATAAAAATAAATTAAATAATGTTTTCGGGTTTGTGGTACTCAGGTAAGGTTAAGTTAGATAAGCCTTAATGCCTACTTTTCTTTTGTTTCTCATTTTTTGGAGTCCTTAAAGCATTAGTGACTTGTTTTAGAGCAGTATATTCTGGGTCTGTCATCCTCATCCTGGCTGCTCTACTTGGTGAATAATTGAGCTGCAACCAGGGGCGGACTGACAACTCATGGGGCCCCCGGGCAATAGGGGATCATGGGGCCCCTGTGTCCTTGCCCAAACTCAAAAAAGCCTATGAAAAAGGTACCAGGGGCATCTCATGGGGCCTACAATAAAAGTGGCCACCCGCCCAAGTCTATAACTGGCTTATGAAGCAAGGACACATAAACAGGCATCACATAGTGAATAAGGGGGAGAGAACAATGTTCTTGGACAACTTGCCAGCCAGCTTGCTAACAACTGAATTAACCTGTCTAACAGTATGCGTTTATAACAGGGGTTTAGTTAGCACACATTTGCAAATACATACGTAAGCCACAGAGCCATGACACGGCACCCTGATAATCTGTGGTCCTAACTCTACAATTTGTGAGTCCCCATAGTAGAGGCACATGCATTTAATGGATAGATCAAGGTCAGGTGGACCTGAGGGAGCCACCCCTCTTAAAGGCAAAGGAGTGCACTGGACCCCAGCATGTAGCACAATGGCAACCAGGGTCCTAGTACACCAACGTACCAAAAAACTCAAACATACAATAAATCCATTAAATGCATGTGCCTCTACTATGGGGACTCACAAATTGTAGAGTTAGGACCACAGTTTATCAGGGTGCCGTGTCGTGGCTCTGTGGCTTACGTATGTATTTGCAAATGTGTGCTAACTAAACCCCTGTTATAAACGCATACTGTTAGACAGGTTAATTCAGTTGTTAGCAAGCTGGCTGGCAAGTTGTCCAAGAACATTGTTCTCTCCCCCTTATTCAGCATCTCATGGGGCCCCCTACTGACCCCAGGCCCTCGGGCAGTGCCCGAGTTTCCAAATGGTCAGTCCGCCCCTGGCTGCAACAAGTATGCAAGAAGGGAGTTTAGAGTTTTCATAGTTCACTGTCAGCATGCCTGTTCTGTGTCTTGACTTTTAAGCAAGTAAAGCCAGGGTCAAGATCACAGAAGGGGCGGACTGACCATTTTAGCATTCGAGCCCTGCCCGAGGGCCCGGGGTCAGTAGGGGGCCCCATGAGATGCCCTTGGTACCTTTCATAGGCTTTTTTGGTTTGGTTTGAGTGTGGGCGAGGACACAGGGGCCCCATGATTTCCTATTGGCCAGGGGCCCCATGATTTGTCAGTCCGCTCCTGGATCATAAACTGCAGACTGATGATGTCAAAAAAACTTTATTCAGTCAAAACCGACACTCTGGAAGTCCTTGCCTATAGCCACACCCCACTGATGCATTTCACCTTGATGAGGCCTAATCATAGAAAACAATTAAGAAACAGTTGGGAGAAAATGCAATTTTACTGGATGCACTTCTATACAGGTGAGTTTTAGCACATTCAATGGCAACGTGCAAATTCACACTCAGTTAAATAGGTGTACTGCTAAAACATTTTAAGTCTTTGTCTCAAATGTCAGACTGTTATGGTGGATGTAAACCCTTACCTATAGACAGTGAAGTGACTGATACACAGAGGTAAAACAAACCCTCCTACATAAGTTGTACCTGTTTATTTGTAGCAATTTGTCCTGAACATATTTGTAAAACTCAGCGATTACAAGTATTTTCCACAAACTCACAAAGCAGTAAGTAGAGAGCTGCAAGTACACACTGTACAAGAGCTCTGAGCACTGATTGGAGGAAAGGGACACTCCCCTCTTCACACAGCACACAAGAACGGAACTGAGGCTGTCAATCACAAGCTGTGTGCTGAAGTTTCCTTCCCTGTCACCTTTTTTCTCTTAGTGTCAAGAAACATTGTCAGAAGTGATGGCAGAGGACAAGGCAGCAGAGAGAAAAGAAACCTAGTGCTTTAGAGAGAAGCAAGTAAACACTATAGAAATATGTGTTTTATTCATATTTCATGCCTGAGGTTTACATTTTAAATTTATGAGGAATGCAAAAACTATAGGAAGATATTCAACTGAAACAGCTCTACACAGAGGCATAACGAGAACTTTCAGGGCTCCGGTGTAAGAAACCATAAAGGGACCCCTGACGACGGGGTCCTTCCCACTGATTCTAGGGCGCTTTACTACCATTGTGGGCCCTTTATTAGGGTCCCTCAGCAGGACCCTTTCACATGTTCGACACTGGGCCCCCTTCCTGCCATCTTGGGACCCCCCCCACAGTGGTGGAATGCAATGACCAACATGCAAGTGCAACCATTGCAACCCTAGTAGTTCTGCCATTGGTGTCAGTCCGTAGTTTTTATTTTTGTTTGTTTTTTTTAATTATTTCTTACCATTTTTTTGTATTATTATTATTTTCTGTTTTACAATTTTATTTTTTATTATGCTTTTCAATTGTTTAGGAGCCCCGTTGGGGGCTTTGGTGAAATATCAGGGGTCTAAACAGATCTCTAGTGCACGCAATTGTGACCCCTTTGTGTACGCCCCTGGCTCTACAGTCCTCTGACGTTTCATTCTAAGAATATAAGATGTTCTGATACATCTGCAGTATAATTATTAGGTGAAGTAAGAACTTCTGCAAGATCAGTCATCTACTTACCTGTCTTGGAAAAATGTAGAATAAAAAGAGTCACACAGTTTTCCTTATAAAATTATAACCCCACCTGTAAGCATGGCTAATCGTCCTTGTTTATTTATCTGAAACATATACAGTTGTGTTCAAAATAATAGCAGTCAGACATCACTAACCTGATCAATCACTGTTTTTGGTAGAAATGACATTTCTACATGGCAAATAATTTACTAGCAGGTGTAGTAGAGTAATAGAAATCCAACAGACCCAACAGTCATGACATGCATGCTGCTGATTCTATGTCATTGAATCACTAATTGAAAGGGGCATGTTCAAAATAATAGCAGTGTGGAGTTCTATTAGTGAGGTCAGTCATTCTTTGAAAAACAGGTGGCAATTATTGCCCTTATTTAACCATTAGCCGCCCGGCCAATGGCCGTTTGGCGGCTTCAGATGTGTATCTGCATTCCGGGTGCACGCCATTTGGCGTGCTCCCGCACATGCGCCGTTTGCGCTAGTGCAGAGCGGCGCAGCAGTGCGATCTGTCATCGGCCGTGCACCTCGGACATGGCCGATGACAGATCCGAGTACCGGCTCCCATTGCTGGTACCATGTGACCTGCTGTGACCAATCACAGCAGGTCACATGACAGTTGTATACAATGGATGGCTTCATTCATGATGCCATCCATTGTATACTAGTGCCTAGCTGTGAATGGTCACAGCTAATCACATGCACATGTCATGTGATTAGCTGTGACCAAATCACAGCTAAGCACAAAAAAAAAAAAAAAAAAAAAAGCTGAATGAATCGATTTCATTCAGGTAAATGCTTGCTTATAGCAAAGTAATTCTTTGCTATAAGCAAATTGTGTAAAAAAAAAAAAAATACTGATCACTTCCCCAAA